AAAACTGAACTGGAATGATAATATGCTAATGTTGCTGATGTGAACATTGAACTCATTATTAAAGACCAGAGAGCGGATCTCAATCTCGAATTCAAAATCGATCGAAGAAAATCAGTATTGAGCGAAGAGAAGAGATGAACATCAACCAGGCACCACTTAACTTGCAGAATCAAATAGTTCAAAAAATTTGATCAAAAAAAAAAGAACATTGAACTCATTATCTATAAAAAAAAAGAGAGAATAAGACGTGATTATATAGAACTCAATGAGTTAGCTTGGTGAGCTCATTGCTAAATAGCCTTATCATTTATCACATTTACTTGCATGTATTTTTCAAAAATGGTTCCCATCTTGAGGACATGGATACATTTTCCAGTTTTCTACAAATTTGATATATTCTTCAATGAGCTTTACTTTCATTTTTGTTAATAAATATTTATTTTCTTGATCAATAGTATTGGAGTTTAATCAAATCTCCTAAACATTATTTGTGAAATAATTTTTTTAAACAATTGTTTATGTGTTACTAACATATTCATTCTTAAGAAAAAAATGACATGTTTTACGTCTTATTGTCACATGTCAAATTCATTTATAAAGTTCTATATTTCATAAGATTATAACAATAACTTATGTGTATCCCTTAGATGTAAATATAATCCACATTTTATTAAGTTAGTTAATAAAATAATTTATCTTTTTAACATGTGTAACTAAAATATTATAAATTTGAATACATACATATATTAAAATAAACATAATCACGACCATAAACATAATATAAATAAAAATTATTTTCTATAGTTTATAATAAAGGAAATATAATAACAAAATAAAAATATACAAGAAAACAATTCTTTATGTTCCAGTTTAAGTGATGTTTAAAGAATTTTTTTTTTTCAGTTTAAATGATTTTATTGAGTTTCCATCAAAAATTAAATTTATTTGATGTTTTTGACCATTTGTATATGATATTTATTGGTTAAATTAGCCATAGCTTAAATTTAACAAAATTAGAAAAACAAGAATAAAAAATGATAAGTAAAAATAAAAAACTTCATATGTTTCAGTTTAAGCGATGTTTTAAGAATTTTCTTTGTTTCAATTTAAATGATGTTTTCGAATTTTTATAAAATAATGTTATTTTATGTTTTTGATCATTTGTATTTTGTAATATGGTTCTTGTTGAATAAAATATAGACATTATGTTTTATGCTAAATGAGATAAACTGAATATCGAGATAAATTTAATAAAAAGTAGTAACTCCTTAATTAGTGTATTAATTTTTTAAACACCACTCGTTTTGACACATGAGTATATTTTCAGAGCGGAGATTATTGTATTTATACATTAAAAGATTTAAAAATTTACATTGAATTTTCACTTCAAAATAATATACTTTTAAAAATTGTTATCAATGCCCATGGCTCAGGCAACCTCCTAACAATACATTAAATGCCAATGAATAGTAGTTCTTGTTAGGAAAAAAAAATTGTTAGCAAATCGAAAGACATGCATACTCGCAATACTCTCGTACGTTCTCTGTCTTAATAGTACTTTGTTCCCTCGCTTTGAGTTTTTTTTTTTTACGAAGAAAAAAAATACAATGTAAACTTAGTTTGATTTTGCTGTTTTAAAAGCTCATCACAAACGGCTTCATAATTCCCAGTTTATTCATTGTTATTCTACACAAAACTAATTTCTGCATGTTGCTTTCAATGATGAGTTGAGAGATCAATGATTTGGGTCGTAATATTGTATGAAGAAGGGAAGTTGGTACCACTACTCTCCTAGAAAGTGCTCTCATATGGCCAGCATTGGCAGGCAAGTGACCCATTCTATTTATATATAATTATGCCCCTTTTAATCTGAGTGGATCGTGATTATTATCGCTCTCGTTATACTTAATTACGATATAATTTCTGATCCAGGATATTCTTAGAAGTTTCCATGTGAAAACCATTTAGTCATGTTTTCGTAATGAAAAGCATTTAAGACCACACATACTATATAATGTATACCATATACACACATACAAAACTAGATATATATCACAAACATTTACACTGTGTATAGTTGTATAGTATGTGCTATGTACAATATATATCATTTAATACATTCGCATCATACTAGAGTTTACTATAAATCATGCACGATTATCCAAATTTTTTGTTATCGATTCTGTTACTGCTTGTTGGCAAATTAGATATAGGAGTTTTAATGATATTTAACTTGACATTTGCTTAATCATAATTAGCTAAGCAGTGACGTGAATTATCAACTGTCGTTTGCTCATTGACGAGAATCACATGCAATGCTGCACTCACGCCGTAGCAGAATGTGATTTAAACTGTTTTATTATTAACATAATTACACATTATATTGATATTAATCATATACTCCATAAGTAGTTAAACATAAGAAAATGGCATTGATCTCATTTAATTTATTTAACTCTTTTGATGACTCAACATCCCACTTAGAACAATATTTAATGCTTTTACGATCTCTAATGCAGGCAATTAATCGAATTTGGACCATCGGGTTCGTTGGGATTAGTTCAAGTCTTTGCTAGTGTCCTAAAATGTTGGAAAGCACCACCACCGGCCCAAATTACAGAAGAATACAATCAAAACATATTTTTTTTTATTTTTTTTGTGCAACCAATTAATTAATTGTTTAGCCAATGATTTGCTCAACTAAGCAATATATCACGTACTATTTGATACGGCCTATTCATACTAATACGTGTTGAATTATATGCACGTTAATGTGATATCATAATCATGCATCATATTTTTTACTAGTTTAAATTTACAATTTTGGTGGTCACACTCAGTGCTGCCCAATTAATAACCAATAGAGTTGAGCAATAACGAGCATATGATGGATTAGCGAGTGGAGAATATGCTCTTCCCAAATAATGCATTATGCATAGGATGCTGAGAAAGCAAGTGTGATATCTCATATGCTTGGACTATGAATCCATGTTTTGCTATGTTACTATGTACAATTGTAAATGTTTTTTATTAACAAATATTATATATATATATATATATATATATATTAGCATCATGAATCTAATCGGCTATAAAAGGATCTTGGAATTCTGTATCCTCACTAATTAAACCTAGCATGGAGTGTCCAAATTAAGCGAACACACAAAGCTTAGATTACTATACATGGAGATCCACAGCTACGTCTATATGCTGAACCGTTAGATCTCATGCAATATAGACATTCAATTATTCAAATACAGTACTACTCAAATCTTCAGAATCAAACTCGGTACATCGAATTATACTCGACATATATTTATAAAACTAAAAGTAATGTTCGTGTTTAAAGACGCGCATGCATATATTACATGTTTGTCTTTTATATATTTGTACTTGTTCGCATGGATATACTTTGTAAACTACAAATGTGGACCATGTGATGGTGGTGGTCGATGAGAAGTAGTGGCTATCACATGTTATTAAAGCTCTTTTTAAGTAGTCGCTACAATTGGCAATTAATTGTGTGCGCTCACTAAAATAGAAAGACCTTTACAGAGTCAGAGTCAACTATATTGCAGTGCTATTTTATTTGTTATTACCCATGGTTTATTATAGTGTACAACTTATTTTAATGTTTTGTATTACGTACTGTAATATTTATGGATGAGCTAATATCTGTTTATTAACAATAAGTAGTTGAATTTCAGAAAAGAAGAAGTCAGAACTTTGATAAAAAAAGAAGAAGAAGTTAGAACCAATTCTACAAAAAATATAAAAAAGAAGTCAGCACCAAACCAAAGTCCAATCCTTAAGAATGAAGAATTTTTTTATTTTTTTTTTATTTTTTAAGAATGAAGAAATGTTGATCCTTTGTTTGTATGGAGGTGGAAACGTTTACGTGGACCATGCTTCAGTTCGTTAATGTTCTAAGTTTACTTAATCTTATCGTGCCAATTCAAACCCTGAACACCATTGAAACAAATATGGATTTAATTAAAAGAATTTAAGTATACCTTATGAACTTGCAACAAACCTGAGAACCAAGAAACATTGTATTGATTAAAATTTAGTTAATTTATTCTCGTATCAACTGTAAATGGAAGGAGAATCACGAACAACTCGGAGTTTTTTTGGATTATATGATTGTATCTAATAATCTGAGATGCCTTGAATTTCAATTGTTGTTCTTTACTAGTAGTATATATATACGCAAGACTGTCTACGAGCGAAACTGAACAATTAAGAAAGTCATAATGCTAATACTGCATGCAGCGATTATCTTCCTTATTTCTTACTTGAAGGTTAACTACAAGTTATTTTGTTCTCTTTTGATGCCTCTCCATAGAGAGAGGGAGAGAGAGCTCTATAAATCTCTTATAGCGAAAATTAGAAACCTTAGACACACCATTAAAACTTTAGATACACATTGAGCTATAACTAATTTATGTTAAGGCTCTATTGTTAATCGAATTCATCTGGTTACATTATGATCCAATAAAAGCTAATAATATTTGTAATATAACTGAAAATTTTATTACTTTTCTTTTTACATAACATGGATTCGTTTTGTCGCCTTACAGATAGCAAAACATGATAGTTTTGGAAATATAAAGTTTACAAGTATGATTCGATGTATATAGGTATGTTTGGTTGTGATAGAAATCTACAAGTAACATAATGCCAAGAATGATTGACTACTCTTCCAGAAAAAAAGTTTCTTCTAAAATAATAAATTTGTGAATGTAAAAAATCAGTATTTGTTCATCACAATTTGGGTGGATGGATCATGTTTCACATTCCTACTTGGGTTAGTTGAGCCTACCTTTTGGCCCAGTAATAATTATGTTGTACTCGTTGCAGAAAATGAAACAATTCAGTTAAATATGTTCTCATACATGACAACCAACAATGAACGTAACTTTAGAAAGAATTAATTGAAAGAATGGAGACTTACAATAAGAATTACGATAACCTAAATGATCGAAAAATAAGAACAAAAACTAAACAACGAACTTCATATCTAAATTCGGGAAAAACGTCTTCCCAAAAATAGTTTCAAGATCATTCTCTAAGGGAGTTAGATTCAAATCCAAAGACAAAACCCTCTTGCTACTACTGCATCGTTTCAGAACCGGCATGTTCGAAACCACGGGAGAGATGACCTGCGATGGCCCCCCTGTCATGCTTGGCCTATGCCGTCTCATATGACCACCTAAAGCCTGTCCGGTACCAAAACTCTGACCGCATATCGAACACTCGTGCATATGATTTCCATTATAATTTTTGGTAACATGTTTCATCTCTTTTTGGTCAACGGATAGCTTTGGCTTCTTATGGCTAGCCCGGTGGCCACCTAGGGCTTGAAACGAAGAGAATATCCGGTTACACGTTTTGCATTCGAACCGGTTACTTGTATTCCGCTCTGTGTATTGTTGGTTCACATCGACCATGGAGGTTTGTGATAGTATCATCAGACATCTAGCAATGTCAAGATTCTTGATGGATTCGTCGTACTCAGATATTTTTCTCTCCATACTTTTTTGGGTTGGTAAGCTTTTGATATTAAGAAAGCAAAAGTAAGCTTTTGTTTGTTAGAAAATAAAATGGATTGAGAGAGTTTGTAATGAAAGTTGAGAACATATGAGTCACGTATATATATCAAGCGCTATGCCTAAAAGTTCGACTTTCTTGTAGTTTGAAGTTTGAACAAAAGAAATTGTCTAATAAAATTTGGTCAAAAAAAAAGAAAAGAAATTGTCTAATAAACTAATTCTAACAAGAAGCGGCACTGATTGTTAGACTTTGGGACAAATTTGACATTTTCAGTTTCACCCTTTGACCACCGGCCGAACGCAATGCATAGTTGCATACCACGAGGGTTGAACTGAACATCAAGGGTTGTATCGTTTTTTTTTTTATGTTGTATCGTCTTTTTGAATGTTGTATCATCATCACATATGTGAATCTTAGAAACTGCTACTAAAAATGTGAATTTAACCAAAAAGAGTAGGTCAACAAATATACACAACACAGAACAGATCCAGCAACTTGGTTTCTCATGGACTTGCTTGCCACGGTCATTAATTTAATATGAACACCCTATCATACTAATACATACTTTAATTATATCATTATCTTCTGTTTTCTTTAATGTAAGGTTTCCAAGAAGAAGCATAGAGTAATCATTGGAAAATCCAGCCGTCATTTGTATTATACAATGGTTGAAGTTAAAAAAACACATCCAATGGAATTATCTTATATTGTTTTTAAAACCGAATGGCGTTTAATAACATAAAGAAAAAATTAACCTAAAGTCAGATCAACAATGACTACAATCATGTTTGAAGAGAAAATTCAGTTCTTCAAACACATGCACTCGAGTCTAGAGACCAGTTTAAATACTTGGATACATTGCATTAAGTCATTGTCTATCTAGATGGTAAAGAGCGCAATAATTTTCTCTCTATACTTTGTATCATTGAGAACGTCATCAGTGATGACATCAATAGTACGTGAGAGATGAGCAAGTCAAAGCAAAAGTAAGTAGCAGATAAGATATGTATATATATACGTGTGCTTATTTTTGACTTTATTATGTTTTATTAAAATACAAGCAAAGTCTTGGATTCTTGGATGTTTTCGTTCTGACTCTGTTTACTTTTCGTTTTCATATTTGGTTGGTCGGTCTTATGCAAGAATATAGGTAACCAACTAATCCATAGCAACATAAGGTTACGTACGGTACGATATATAACCTTCACACACTCTTAATCTTCTAGGCTAATCCAGTTAATTAATGAAGTCCGTGAAGTTAATTTTTGTTTTAAGATCTAACTAATCAGTTGTGGCTTGTTTCTTTGGCGTTCGTTCTTGCGCTGATCAACATGGTAATTGTATTGAAAAGCTTTACTGTTATATAAACATATCATTGAAGAATTATCAATATGAAAGATTTCAGAATTTAAATGCCTTGCATGTCAATTGGTTCTTTTTCACTAGTATATACGCTGGACTGGCTACGAGCGAAAATACTAAATATTTAAGAAAGTCAATATGCTAATACTGCAACGTTTATCTTCCTTATATCTTTACTTGAAGGTTAACTGCAAATTATTTTGTTCTTTTTTGATGTCTCTCCATAGAGAGAGCTCTATAGTCAATTTATAGATAAAATTAGACAAATCTTAAGTATACCATTAAAACTCTAGGTACATATATAATGGTTGAGTGATAACTAATATTAAGGCTCTCTTGTTAATCCAACTCATCTGGTTGCATTGTGATCCAATTAAGCTAATAATAAAACTGAAATTTTAATTAATTTTTCCGTTTATGTAACATAGAAGCAGTTTTGTCGTTGTTAGAGAGAGGAATACATGATGGTTTTCGAAATATGAAGTTTACAAGTATGATTCGATGTATATAGATATGTTTAATTATCAAAAAAAATCTATTAGTAAGTTTACAAAAAAAAAAATCTATAAATAATACGAGGACTGATTGAATACTCTTCCAGAAAAAAAAAGAAAAGATCTACGAAAATAAGAAAATTTGTGAAATGACAAAATCAGTATTTGTTTCATCACAACTTTGGTGGAGGGATCATGTTTCACATCCCTAGGTGGGTTAGTTGAGCCCACCTTTTGGGCCAGTAATGATCATGTGTACTCGTTGCAGAAAATGAAACAAACCAGCTAACTATTTCTCATACAAGACATCCAACAATGAACTGTGAACATAACGTTTGAAAGAATTAATTAAAAGAATGGGAGACTTACAATACAAAAGAATTACAGTGACCTAAATGATTGAGAAAAAAAAAAAGAAAAAAACTAAACAACAAACTTCATATCTATGTTCGGAAAGAACGTCTTCCCAAAAATAGTTTCAAGATCATTCTCTAAGGGAGTTAGATTCAAATCCAAAGACAAAACTCTCTTGCTACTACTGCATCGTTTCAGAACCGGTACGTTAGAAACCACGGGAAAGATGGTCTGCAATGGCTCCACCGTCATGCTTGACCTATGCCGTCTCATGTGACCACCTAAAGCCTGTCCGGTCCCAAAACTCTGACCGCATATGGAACACTCGTGCATATGAGTTTCCTTATAATTGTTGGTAACATGTTTCTGGTCAACGGATAGCTTTGGCTTCTTATGGCTTGCCCGGTGGCCACCTAGGGCTTGAAACGAAGAAAATTTCCGGTTACACGTTTTGCATTCGAACCGGTTACTTGTATTCCGCTCTGTGTATTGTTGGTTCACATCGACTTGTTTGACCATGGAGGTTTGTGTTAGTATCATCAAACATCTAGTAATGTCTAGATTCTTGATGGATTCTTCGTACTCGGATCTTTCTCTCTTCATATTTTGAAAATGAAAAAGCAAACGTAAGTTTTTTGTTTGTTAGAAAGAAGGAAAATGTATATATTGAGAGAGTTTGTAATGAAAGTTGAGAACACAGGAGTCACGTATATATAAGAGGCGCTATACCTAAAAGTTCGACTTTCTTGTAGTTTGAACTTTGAACAAAAGAAGTTGTCTAAACTAATATTATAACAACAAGCAGCACTGATTGTTTGACTTTGGGATAAAATTGACATTTTCAGTTTCACCCTTTGACCGCCGGACTATACATACCACGAGGGATGACCATCAAGGGTAGTATCGTCTTTTCCAGTGTTGTATCATCATATACGTGGTTCTCAGAAACGTCTACTGCTAACATGTGAATTTAACCAAAAGGAGTAGGTCAACAAATATACACAACACAGAATAGATCCAGCAACTTGGTTTCTCATGGACTTACTTGCCACAGTCATTAATTTAATATGAACACCTTACCATATTACTATATACTTTAACTATATCATTATCTTCTGTTTTCTTTAATCTAAGGTTTCCAAGAAGAAACATAGACTAATCATTGGAAAATCCAGCCGTCCTATAATGGTTGAAGTTAAAAAAAATAATAATACATCCAACGGAATTGTCTTATATTGTTTTAAAAGTGGATGACGTTTAATTACATCAACAAGTTAATCTAAAGTCAGATCAGAAATTAATACAACCATGTTTGAAGAGAAAATTCAGTTGATCAAAACACAGACTGGAGTCTGGATACATTGTACCAAGTCATTGTCTATCTAGATGGTAAAAGTTCAATAATTATCTCCCTACAGTTTTTTTTTTTTATCATTGAGAACGTCACCAGTGATGGTAATGGTGATGACGTCTACAGTACGTGAGAGATGAGCAAGTCAAAGCAAAAAGTAAGTCAGGCATAAATCATAATATGTGCTTTGGGCTTTTTTGCTCAATAACCAAAAAAAAAAATTATTTAGTTTTTTAGAGAGAGGGGAAGAGAGAGATAGGAAGGGGATTGAAGAGAGAGGGGGTATTTTTAGTTAGATAATAAATTTTGGTTTTTTTTTTGGTTATTTCACCCAATTTTCCTATGTGCTTATTTTTGACTTTATTATGTTTTATCAAAAAGCAAAGAATTGGATTCTTGGGTCTCTGTTTACTTTTCCTTTTCATATTTGGTTGGTTGATCGGTTTTATGCAAGAATATACATAACCTTCAGGTCCTTCACACTCTTAATCTTAGGCTAATCAAATTAATTAACTTAACTCCCAAAGCGTGAAGCTAAACTTTTTTTTGGGTCGAATCAATCATATGTTTACTTCCAAGAATGATGTTCTGTTGTTAGCTTCTTCTTCTGCCCGTTTAGTTGATATTTTATCCATGTTTGTGTGATCTTCGTTGAGAATATTATTCGAAACAAAGTCCTCATTTCCTCAATCGATACCAAGCTTGGCTCATTTTGTAGCTTGTTTATTTGGCAAACATGGCCATTGTATTGACAAGCTTTACTGTTATATATAAGATAATATGAGGAATTGTCCAACCATCGAGTTGTTCTAATTCTCCATTAGTTAAAGTTTAACAAGAAATGGAAAAATTGGTTTCGTTTTAAGAAATACATAACACTATGGTGTGTTTATACTTTATACCAAACCATAGAGAAATCTTTTGTAACAAAAGGGAAACACAATTTCAATAAAAAAGAAGTGTCATCACATGTTACATGTCATCTCCATGATACACAATGCAGAGTTCAAGAAAGTATATCAAGACCGAAGATCACAATAACTAACTCCTCCATTAGAGAAGAGCTGAACCGTAGAACACCAAATCAGCAGGACCCGTCATATAAATATGATTGTCTTCCTCTTTCCACTCTATCTCCAACGGCCCACCAGGTAGATCCACCGTGCATTTCTGTTCCACCATAGATAGATACATGCTTTTAAACTGAGTGTTACATGTTGCACTCAATATCTATGTGGCTCATAAATCATATATACTTCTAAATGGAAAAAAAATATTGAAACTCACCCTGTCTGTTCGACCTTCAAGTACTGCTGCAACAACCAGAGCACAAGCTCCTGTTCCACAAGCCAATGTTGCTCCTACAGTTTGAAGTTTATGCTTTTTAAGTATATAAGGAGATATAAATATTCTTGATTTTTTTTTACTCAGAAATAGATTTGGACTAAAGCTAACCTGCTCCACGCTCCCAGACACGCATTTTTAAATGTGAACGTGACAAGACCTCCACGAATTCTGTAGATAAAGTTCAAATAGACAATGACAAAAAGAGATATCGCTGAAACTTGTATGAATGAATCTGCACCAACCTGTGTTAGTTCGAGCTGGGAACATCTCATGGTGCTCGAACTTAGGACCAATCTCTGACAATTTCAGCTCATCAACTCTCAGCTCCTGCTCGATTCAAACAAACTCAATTTGCTTACATACAGAATCTCCTTCTCTCTTTAAGTAAGTACCACACAGGAAGAATAAAAAAAACGGACCTGACCGTCCTTAGTGCCAAATGTGATACAGTGAGGGTTTCCCATGCTTACACACGTCACACTCCAGCTTACTCCATCAACTACCAGCTCAGCCGCAACAACAGACTCACCTTTGTTCCCTTGCAACCTCGTAGGCACATCCTCTGCTCTAAGAATCGGTTCCCCCATATCAACCTTAACCTGTATCAAATACCAATTCCAGTTAAATAAGAAGCTTTATCATGAATATTCAAAAAAAAGCTTGTAACTTTTACCTGCCCATCATCTTGAATCTCTGGAATGATGAGACCAGCACCAGTATGTATTGTAAAACTACAATAACAAAAAACATGAGAACCATAGCAAGTGTGACCCTTTTTACTAATAAATCTGATTATAATAATACCTGTGGTTTCCCTGTAGATTCTCAATCTCAGCAATGAATTTAGCAAAACATCTAATTCCATTGCCACACATCTAACAAACAAAAAAAAACAGAGTCTTTTATACCTTCCAAATCCAACAACAGAGGCTTTTAATAACAAAAACAGAGTCTTTTATAGCTTCTGAATCCAAAAACAGAGTCTTTTATAGATTCCGAATCCAAAAACAGAGTCTTTTATAGCTTCGGAATCCAAAAACAGAGTCTTTTATAGCTTTCGAATCCAAAAACAGAGTCTTTTATAGCTTCTGAACCCAAACAGAGTCTTTTATAGCTTTCGAATCCAAAAACAAAGTCTTTTATAGCTTCTGAACCCAAAAACAAAGTCTTTTATAGCTTTTGAATCCAAAAACAGAGTCTTTTATAGCTTCTGAACCCAAAAACAGAGTCTTTTATAGCTTTTGAATCCAAAAACAGAGTCTTTTAATAACAATAACAGAGGATTTTGTACCTCTGGTTCACTACCATCTGAGTTAAATATCCTCATAGTATAACCAGCGCCATTAACACCAGCCATCGCAAAGATGACTCCATCAGCACCAACACCGAAGTTCCGATCACAGAGCTTCGCAGCTTGCTCCTGAGTAATCTTAGGCTCCGACGAGTCCCTATTATCCACCAAAATGAAATCGTTTCCAAGGCCGTGGTACTTGACGAAGTGGAGGATTCCGGTTTCCTTTTTATCGAGGAAGCTTTCCGGCGAGAGTTTCTCGGCGGCGAAGGCGCTCATGGAGACGCGAAGGTTTGTGCTTTTGAAGGAGAAGTTTCTCCTCCCGGAGGGGTTGAAGCGGAGAGAAGGTAACGATCTGGAGAAGGTATGTGATAATCGAGAAGAGTGCGGTGGCGCAAGAGTGAGAGTGAGAGTGCTCGTGGCGGCTATCTCCATCGATGCTTCTTTTGTTTCTTTGTCTGAATTCTGTAAAAGCGTTTGCTAATAATGTTTTTTGAATCAAAAACCGGACCAGACTTTGATTTGGTATTTGTAATTGGATCAGATGGTTTAGTTGGTCCACCCACAGAACTTTTCAATTTTAAATATATACACAAACTATATAACTAATTTTTATGATAAAAAGCTAATTAATTAATTTAATTAAATTTTTTTAAATAATGTATTTTGTTAAAATGATTAAATGTAAATTTAGTTTTAAGTTTGTAACTTGAATATAAATGACTTTTTATCGGTCACTGGATTTAACAAGTGTGTTTGGTTTTTGATTGGTTTTAACTATTTAATTCTGATCCAATTTGAAAAACGAGTCACGGTTCCATTGGTTTGTTCTGGTTTTCATAACATCAGCCTTTTGAATCACGGCCAAACCGGGTTGAACCGGATATACGAAGCTTTAACGATGGTGAAGAAAAAAAAAAAGAGTAAAAAAAGGGATCATTTTTTTCTACTTTCCGTGCAACCCTAAATAAAAAGCCCTTGGAACGCCGTTTCCTCTTCTTCTTCCTCGCTCTCGCCTCCGTCACGGTTCCTTCACACTCTCTCCATCTTATCAATCTCCCCAGGTATGCTTTCATCTTCCTCTTACTAACCAACCCTTCTCGTAGATTCATTTCCAACACACAAAGTCCTCTACTTTCTCTAAAATTCGTTAAACCCTAATCGCCTCTGTTCAACCCTAGAAAAAANGTTTCCTCTTCTTCTTCCTCGCTCTCGCCTCCGTCACGGTTCCTTCACACTCTCTCCATCTTATCAATCTCCCCAGGTATGCTTTCATCTTCCTCTTACTAACCAACCCTTCTCGTAGATTCATTTCCAACACACAAAGTCCTCTACTTTCTCTAAAATTCGTTAAACCCTAATCGCCTCTGTTCAACCCTAGAAAAAAAGCTTTAACCTTTACGAACTCTATAGATCCAATCTGAATCAATCAATCTTCCTCTGTTTTAACAGGTTTAAAAAATGGGAACTCCAGAGTCATCACGAGAGCCATGCCCTGACCGTATCCTCGACGACATCGGCGGGGCCTTTGGCATGGGAGCTGTAGGAGGAGGAGCCTTCCATTTCATCAAAGGAACATACAACTCACCCAAAGGAAGCCGCTTTATCGGAGGCAAGCAAGCGGTGACGATGAACGCTCCTCGCGTGGGAGGTAGTTTCGCTGTCTGGGGAGGTCTCTTCTCCACTTTTGATTGCTCCATGGTGTATCTCAGGCAAAAGGAGGATCCTTGGAACTCTATCTTTGCAGGTGCTGCCACTGGTGGGTTTCTAGCTATGAGGCAGGGGCCTAGTGCGTCTGTAAGGTCTGCGCTTTTCGGTGGGGTTTTGCTGGCTTTGATTGAAGGGGCCGGGATTGCTTTGAATAAGTTGATGGCTCAGCCTCAGCAGATGCAGATGGAGGAAGGGATGATGACGCCTGGGATGCCGCCTGGGATGCAGATGGGGCAGGTGCCTGGGATGCAGCAGATGCCGAGTCAGGGACAGGGACAGGTGATGCAAGAGAGTAGTGATTCTTCTTCTTCGTCGTCTTGGTTGGGAGGTTTGTTTGGTAAGAAGAATGATGAGGTGCAGGGGCAGACGAGTAGTGGAAGTGAAACTAAGGTGTTGGAGAGTTTTGATGCGCCTCCAGTGCCATCATTTGAGTATAAGTAAGCTTTGATGGGTGGATCCTCTCTTGTTCATCCCAATCGTTCGTTGCCTGCTACTCTTCAGGAGTGTGTTCTGTTTTGTGGTAGTCGATGTATACCTCGTTTGTTTCTGCAGAATTATATACTTGTTCTTGGAAGAATGAGTTTGTCTTAAGTTTATTGTTTAATGTTCTGTGTGCTTACTGTGAAACCATTCCACAACTATTTATTTGTTGGGTTTTGAATAAATGTAGTATTAGATTTTTCATAGTGGGAATGTTTGAGCAATGAAAATGAGTTCATTTGGAGGATTTTCTGTCTCTTGTTAATAGTTTTTCTTCACCCAACAACTCAAACACTGTCACTCATGTAGACAAAAGTTCAAAAAGCACAGTTATTTTAGGGAAATCATGATATTGGTTTTGTATGAATAATAATTACACGATGTATTTGTTCTTTGAGAGTTACTAACAACTTAGTTATCTCTTTGTCTTTGTTGATATTTAATGGGCAAATAGTGCTTCGGATCTCTTTTGATTGATTTGGGAGTGCAATTTGTAGCAGGTTGTCTGCATCTCTATCATGTATCTGTCAGGAAATCTAGTCTCTGTAGACAGGATCGAGGACTTGTATACTCTGAGTTGTTAGCTTAAATATTACTAACAGTTGATTCCCATGTAGTAATGATGTAAACTAGTATATTGCAGGGTTCCAATGGTTTTATAATTTCAAATTGTACCGGCCGGTTCAGTAGACAAAATTTTTAAAATATATTATTATTAATTGTAAGTTTGAACATTCAAAATGAAGAGTAAATCAACCAACCCTCTCTTCTCTTCAGTCTCTCTCTCTCTCTCACGCAGGAGTCGTCGTCTTTGCTTCTCTCTCTCTCTCTCTTCCTTAATGGTTTCTGGGAATTGTTGTTTCCGATCTAGTTGACCTTCTTTGATCTTCAAAGAGTTAGTGAGAGGCTTTTCGTTTCTAATTTAGGACACGATTCGTTTCCACACAGTAGCCATAGCCCACTTCTTGTCAAAGGTTAGAGAACTCATGTGAAACTTATCTCTCTTTTCTGAGTAATTTAGTCTTATCATCTAAATTTAATTTCTGAGTAATGTAGTCTCTTCTCTTTTTTTTATAAAGCTTTGATTTTGGAGAACAGACACAAACATATCTCTCTCTCTTTGTCTTGTCTCTTTTGAGTAGAACTCACAGTTGATTAAAAATAAACATCTGTTTCTGTTATAAAAGCTTCTGTCTTTATTTTGTTTGCTAGTGTAGACAAAGGTAAAACCCTTTTATTCTTAAAAGATAAACAGTCATATAGACATTGCCTCCACATACACAACTATGTATTAACTCACTTCATGTTGTTTGACGTTTATAGTTAAGGAAAATGTCAATGCGAAATGGATCTCAAAGGAGATCATCACCTAGCATTGTAGCAAGATTGATGGGTCTTGATGGGATGCCTCCTCACATAGAACCCAAACCTTTGGAGAATCAGCAACGCAGACCATCTGATAAAGCTCGTGGGAAACAAACATATAGGAGTGGCTCAATGAATGAGCAGAGATTCAAAGACGTCTTTGAAGTCTTGGATGCAGATGAAGGGCAGAGCAGTACTAGTTTGTATCAGAGGAGAAGGCTGAATCCTAATCTAAATGAGGCAGAGATGGCTTTCATAGAGGCTAGGCGTCTATCCAATGATGAGAAACTCCGTTACTCTAAAGAGTTTAGTGAGACTCTTGAAGCTCTAGACTCCAACAAGGACCTCTTATTTCAGTTTCTTCATCAACCAGATTCTTTATTCACAAAAGAGTTTCATGGTCTTCATAGCATAGCACCACAACCACATTGCAGTCAAGCTACCACTTTGAAGTTCTCCAACAGAGAAAGTCTTGTAAATAATATCAAAGCTCTCAAGGTGGACAGAGAGTTCTCAGGGAAGAGACACAGACCACCTCAATGGCATGGTGATGGTGTTGACCTATCAAAGAAAAGTGGTTTGAAACCAACCGAGATTGTTGTTCTGAAACCTAATCTTGGGAAGCCACAGACTTGTGCTGGAACTCTTCCATCACAAAGTGATGAGGCCAGGGAAGATCTCAGGCTTCCTTGCACCAGCAACCAGGAGTCTAAAGCATCTGGCAGTTTGAAAGGTAATGAAGATGTCTTTCTTTTAAGAAACAAGCCAAGAGATTCCAGAGAGATTGCTAGAATAGTATCTAGACAGTTGAAAGCAAGTTGTGGCAATGAGAGTTCCATAAACTTTGATATGTCAAGGTTTAGAGTTTACACAGGAGATGAAAGCTCATCAGGGAGTGATTCTTCAAGAGCAAGAACTGAGTTTACCCGCAAGAAACACAGCCGGTCTGTGTCTTCAAGGTCTCCGGAGTCAGCAAGTAAGGAGGCCATGAGGAGAATGTCTGAGAGATGGAAGCTGGCTCACAATTCCAAGAAAGAGATGGAGATTAGAAGAAGAAACACATTGGCTGATATGCTTGCAACTTCAGATAGAGAAGCGAGACTAGCAAGTTTTAGTAGAACCACTTTCCAAGAAAGGCTCAGTAAAAGATTTGAAAGACAGTCTGAGTTGCCAGATCCGCTTGGGATAAGTAGTAGAGATGGTTGGAAAGGCACTGGTAGAAGAAACCTTTCAAAATCCAGACCAATCATGCATAAGGACAGAACTTGTAGTCACATGATTGTGCTTCCTAAGAAGCTAACCACTCGAGATGGATTAGTGAAAGGGAGTTCTCTTCACATCAGGGAAAACAACTCTCATTTTTCGGATATTAGCTCCTCAGAGATCAACAGACCAAGTTCAAGTAAAAGTCTAAAAACACAGAGAAGCTTATCAATTCATGCAGATTCAGACACTGAAAGTAGTTCAGACTACGAGGATGCAAAGAGTAATCCATCCTTGGAACCACTTGATTTGTCAGCAGTTACCTCGTTAACTGACCATGTAAGTGTGAAGTAACGCTTCAACATCATTGTTTTGTGTTCTAGATCCCATTAGTACTGACAGATTTTCTGTTGTTTTGATCATTGTTATGTTCCTCAACCACAGCCTCAGGAGATTGCAGAGGAAGGAGATCAACCAAGTCCACAAACTTCTTTGGACAATGAGTTTTCATCTAATTCTGAGTGCTTTGAGAGTCTTAGCGCTGATCTCCAAGGTATCTCAATCATATCTTATTGATGATCCTTTGATCCTTTACACTTTGAGTTCATTATCAATTTGAAAAAATGACTTTTGGAATACTATTTAGCATTTGTAGATAATGAAAACACTGAAACGTTTCAATAACTGGAAAAATGTTTTAAGCATTTCTCTTCATTTTCAGGGCTCAGAATGAGACTTCAGCTACTCAAACGCGAGTCAGATACTTACAACGAAGGCGACATGCTCGTTTCAAGTGAAGAAGAAGAGGAAACATCCAAAGTAACAGATGAGACGATGATCATCCATGAGCTAGTAGAAGACTGGAAGTCTCTATACTTGACTGATATCTTAGCAAACTCCAGGTTCAGTGACTTGAACCCGACAAGCTTCATGGCCTCATGGCACTCCTCTGAATCACCTCTAGATCCATCCTTGTTTGATGATCTTGAGAAGAAGTACTACTTCGGTCTAAAAACCTCAACCCGGTTAGAAAGAAAGTTCGTTTTTGATTGGATCAACAGTGAGATTCTCGAGTTCTTCGAGCAGTTCACTGATCTCAAACCAACAAAGATCAGCCCAAAATGGGATATAAGCAGGATACATGAAACTCTGCTAGAGCTTGTCACTAGAAAACACATGAAACAAAGTAGAGATACAAAGGAGATGCTGTTGCCAAGCTTGGAAGATGGCATTGAAGTGATAGGTAAGGAGATTGAAGAAATGTTGATAGATGAATTCATAGCTGAGTTTGTGATAAGAGTTACATAAGCTATCACTTATACTAAAACATTTATGAAAATAATGCAAACGTTTCTAACAAGTTTAAATTATCACAATTCATAAGATGTTGTTGGATATAGAGTTTCAGCTGTGTTGATGAGTTATATCACAAAGTTCAAAGTGGGACTCTAGTGGAAGATAGGTGCGGTAAATTCCGAAAATTTACCGACTGGTTTCACAACAACAGAGAGGGAGGTAAGGCAGTAAAACAAAAGGTAAATTAAGGATTTGGAGTTTGAAGATTTGGCAATGGGGGGAGAGTTGGAGTAGTCCAAAACTGAGCATTTTTAACCTTTGAGATGCTATCCAATATTTCCAAGGGAGTGATGTCTCCTGTCACTGTCACTTTCTTTGCAGCAAAATCTATGTTGAATGATGTCACCCCTACAAAGGAATCAAAATCATTTAGACAAAAGCCGGTTCTTATGATGAACCAAACCGGTTCTTGTATGGGTAGAATAACCAAATCAAAGTGACCACAGTCTCTAAACCGGAACAGATTGAAATTAAACCGGTATCTAACTAAATAAGGAAAAAGAAAGTGGCATTCTGGTAAATAAAGGAGTTATCAATCTACCTTGCATTCTGGACAGATGTTTCCTAAGTTTTGCTTCACAGCCTCTGCAGTGGAGAGACACTTTGAGAACAACATCGACCTGCTTCTTCTCCTCCTGATAATACAACTCTAATCATTACACTCTTACCACTTTTTATTACATTTATGCAACTTTTCATGCCAACAAACAAAACAACTTTTACCTGGTCTGAGCCATCACCACCACCACAAGACTTCTCTTCCATCAATGACACCACCGGCTTTATCTCTTCACTAGGAGGAAGTCTAGGACTACCAGCTACCTCCTTAACCTGATCCTGACCGGCAGACCCGGTAAGAGAAACCGGGTCGGATCCCAAAAGATACCTTGTAGAACCAGGAGGAGTTTTAGTAAGATCACATGCGGGTCTCGCAACACAGCTAAAACTCTTCCTCGCCAAGCTGATGTCACTTGTTATAAACTTCAACAAAGCCGCCGCTCCACCTCCACCGCCGGTGCTTTTACGGCCAGTGAAGCTCCTCCTTCCCTTGTAGACCTCTAGTGTCTTGTTACTACTGATCTCTCCTTCCGCGGGAGAAGCAGGTATTCTTATGTAGTCGTCCACAGAGGATCTCCGACCATCTTTGATGATGGGGTTGTGGCGGTCTATAGCTCGGCCGCTGCTTTTGTCGTCCTTGTCGGCAGCGACGGTGGCGGTGGTTGGTTTGTGAATGTGGTCCATGCTTGAACATATGGCTGTTGATGCTTGTGAAGCGCAGAACATAGGTCCCTTCATTTTGTCTTTAAGGAAATTAAAAAAAAAAAGTACTGAAATGTTGTAAGAAGTTGAAGGAAACGTTGAAGCTAGAATGTGTATATGTGCATCATATCATATGAAGATATCTTTACTCATATAGAGACAAAGGGAGTTAAGGAGTGTAACAGTCATATATATGAATTATTTGTCTATATATGTATAATCTAATAGTTGTTGAGACGTTATTTATAAATTATTCACGTTCTACTTTTTCATTTCCCTATATATCTTACATTTTAAGTAGAAAAACAATACTTCAACTTTTATATTTTCGGCTATATATGTAGGGATTCAATTTTGTGATAGCGCGGCTGTATTGTTATGATGGTTGGTTTTAGGGTTCGGGTCCAGCCACAGTAGATAGTTAGTTGATTCACTAGTTATGCGAACTAATTAAGTGACCAAAGATGTTGAGTTAATGTGGTTTTAGTTTAAGAGACAAGAACGTTTACACCATATGATGCCCTCTTAAACATATCGGATTCTTTGATATCAGAAGTACAAATAGTTTTGGAGTACTATACTATTTACATATAGTATAAATAAACAAACAAAAAAACTCACAAGCGACCATTATTTCAAAGTTAAATGGAATTAATGTCATATTCTGTTTTTATTATTTTGCATAGTTGTTTATTTTGTGAATTTACATGTGGGATTGCATTAATTTGGAGAGTATAAACAACAAATTAGTAGTGTTTTTGCAATTCTCCCATTTTATTATTTTATATTTAGGAAGCTATATAATACTCAGAGGCTAGGTTGTTCATGTCATTAATTATGACATGATATGATCATCGCCCGAAGCACAACTTGGGATAATAAATGATTTTTTTCACGTGGGAGTTTAGAGAGTATAATTTGTTTTTTTCATTGGCTCTCAGCCTAGCATTTCCAGAAAAATTAGCAACAACGTATAGTCTTATACATCTACTAATATTATGAGGGAAATCTAGACAAATTATATTCTCCCCAAGCAACAGTTAAGTATTATTTACAAAATATTTTAAACATTTAGTTTATAAAAATACAGTTAAGCATTATTATTATTTGCTAATATATTGCATGCTCGCTGTCACTGGATGCATAGTGCCGGGCGTGGACTGTGGGACATCATCCTTCACGAGACTTTTTCCAAATCCTACTTCAATCTTATTTATTTCATATTTTGTTTGTTTGTCTGTTTTTGTTTATTTATATGATAAATGAAACACTGAATCTGTGTCAGAAAGAGACGAGACATATGGCAACGGTCGAAAAAAACAGATAAGAAAATAAAAATCTTGAGAAAAGAGTAGTAATGGAGCTTTCCTTGTAGATGGACAACGTGATGCTTGAATGTTAGAGCCGGACAGAGCTTTTGTTGGATTACCACAATTTATCTAACTTTCGTTCAGCTTTTCACTGATTAACTAATATGGATCTTTTATTGAGATTTGTAGCAATTAGGAACACAAGGAATATTCTACTTTTTGATCATTTGGATGTAGGGTATATCCGGTTTTACCTTATATTGTTCACTGTATAAAACTCTAATCATCTTGGTCTGAATCCTTGGCTAAAATCAAGGTTAACATGATACTCTATAAGATAAATATGTTAACTGGAAGAACTTTAGATCAAAATTAATCTTTCGACATCTATAATCTTATGTGATTTAGATCAAAATTGGAGTGTAATTTAGTTACCTAATACCGTAAAACCTACTAAAATATGATTTATTATATGATTAAAATAAGGTGGTGTTATTCAATTATAAATTCTAATAGAGTTTAAATCTAAACAAAATTCACTGTTATTCGAACGAGGAATGATGATTATAAATTCTGTTTTAAAATCTAGTGTTATTCAATGAATGATTTAAATCTAACTTTTAAAATCTAATGTTATTCAATTTTTAAAGATTTTTTTTTATATTTAGATTGATTTCAATTTTTTCTTATGGAATTTCGTGAATAAATGATTGAACTCGAACTCTAATGCATTCAGGGATTTTAGAATGTATAAACATAAACTATCTTTAAAGTTTAAAATTTGATAGATTAGAAAACATTTTTTTGTCACAAATTTTAGAAAACATTAATAATTGATTTTAAATCACTAAATGAATAAAACCCACTAAAATAATTTATTTTATTTTCCTTTAAATTTGTCCCTGAAGTTTCCAATTTGAACTTAGTCAAATAACTATCATCCCCTATATATTAATTGAGAAACATTTGAAAAGATGTAACCTCAAGTTTGTATTAATTAAAAAGTAACTTTGCTTAGTTGTCAATCAATTAGCATATCAATTAAACTGACGTGGCGGCTTTAGGTTCAATTGAAATTTGCTAGGGAAAAATAATTAGAGACGCATATAACGCATGTAACATAGTTTATATATTTAT